CTACCACCATGTTAGGCTTCAACTCACGTCTCGCATTGACAGCCAAGAGCTTCCTGTCATGGGCCGAGAACCACGTGGGATAACCCTTGGCATCGCTCCCCTGAGACAGTAGCCGGCGGCTGGCGATATTGGTCACGTTGATGGGGACTTGGAAGTTCTTGAATAATGAACTGAGCCCATCGACGATGGCAATGGCATTGCTGGTGACCTGAGAGGCCGTGACAAGGCCGTCCTTCATGGTCGAGTGCAGGTCGGTTTGAGTGATGCCATCGAGGCAGGTCTGCTGGTAGGAGATGACGGCTGAAAGCCAGCACTTGATGTCATCGGTCCTTCTCGCCAAACCGTCAAGGTCATGAGTCTCCGAGAAGGCAGCTTGTAGCTCCTCAGTGGCATCCTCGAAGAGTCGACGACAAATGTCGAACCCATCCTTGTTCATCGAGTCAGTGGCTTTCAAACTCACGTTGTTGGACAGGTGGGAGGCAGCTTCGATTTCTCTGATGGCTGCCATGAAGGAAGCTTGGATGATCTCCTTGGGAGAGGCAGAGCCATTGATGGCAGCATTGAGGGTCCGTTCGCACACATCAGCGTAGTCAGTGGAGGCGCAGATGTCCGTCACGGACTTGGAGGAGGCGACAAGGGAATCGTCACTCGCCGCCCCTATCACGGCCGCCACAAGGACCGCTGAGAGAGCACCCAAGACGGCCTTATTCGTCATCTTTTTACGCTCCTCGTTTGCTTTGCTAATCTAAGAGAAGCGTGTGCATGAACTTTGGCTTGTGAACGGAGTGAAAGGAGGAAACCTAAGAAGATACTTCGAGGGCGGAGCTCCCCAAGTATCTGCCCGCCTGCCGTCGAGAGGAAGGAGCGGTTGTGCTTATATACGGGTCGAACTAATGGATAAAAAGGTAAAGGAACAGAGACCGTCGCGTCGGTTTTCTTTCTTGACTTCGTCCAGACGAACAATACGTGGATAAGAGCTCTTTTTGGCAATCGTTGCATTAATCTCGACGTTTTTTTAGCCATCTTAATTATCGGTTCTTGGCAATACATGCAGCTAAGCATAAAAATGCATGGTCTTCCCTGCAGTAAAGTGTGTAAACCGATCTCGTTCAGTGCTCTATTAAGTTTCTTCTCCTCCTGGTTCGAAGGGAACGAGTGAATACGAGTCAATGAGAACGATCGAGTTAGATGGATGATCGTTCTAACTAATGTGATTGAAAATGAAAACAATATTTTTTTAATGTTCACATCCAATTTATTTAGGGATTTTAAAAGACTTTTATTTATATAAAATAATCATGACGAAGTTGATAAGAAACACAATGTCAACCGAACGCCACGTGATAGAGTCACTCTCCTTCCGTTAGGACAAACCATACAAATATAAGTTTTAAGTTTTCTTTCTCATTTATTATGATAAGAAAGGTAATCACAAACTTCTTTTTTATCCTTTATGATAAGAAAAACAATCATAAGCATTATTCTCATCCATTATGATGAAGAAGACAATCACAAATTTCTTTCTTATCAATATAAAAATACATATTCAATGTAAGAGACTTCTTTTGAACTTTTTTAACTCACATTTGAGAATTTTAGATTACTAACTTGAGCGTCGGAAGGACTTAGTCACGAAACCTCTTTTGACCTTGGTCTTCACATAGATAACATCTCGGGATCATGATATTTTCACCTCAAAGAAACTTCGGACAATCTTATACACATGGGTCTAGATCATGTCGTGCTAACCAATACGTCAATAATATTTTTCTCTAACATTTTAGTGGTGGAGGAAAGGCCCAATGTCATCCGCGTATCAACCCTCTCAACGAATGCTTAAGCAATGAGGCCTTTTTTATATATGAATACATCCACCTCAGTTTAAATACCAACATGGTACGAGCATCTATTCAATGACTTAGGCCTCTTGCCCGTTGAGGCAACCTCTAGCCACTTGCTTGTCCTTGCTGAGGTGTTCTTAAACCTCACCCAACAGGTGCAGACATTAATGGGCACAATGGAAGCTGTTATTTCGCTTTTGCCCCAGCTAGCCCAATAAGCGACACCACTATCTCAGCCACGATTAGCAACTCACCCATCATTGGCATCAACGACCAACAAGAGAACACAACAAGATAAAAGGGGATAACGAAGCGATACCATGCTCGGTTCATGGATAAAATATTCTTATTCGACTAGTAATCCTTCCTAATGGTAGAGGCAGAGGACATCAACTGTGATGGCCTACTCAGCCACCATAGTCCCTGAGCTATTGTTAACTATGACTCTAGAGGTGGTGGCAGTGTAAAGTCCATCACCCTTGACTAGCTCTTCAAGCATGTTTACAACGCTCAAAGTGCTGATGTCACCGAGGGCAATGGCTACGCCTCCTTGAAGCACCATGTCCTTGAGCTCAATGACTTTGCCCCTAAAAGTGACCGGTGACCACTTGGCCTTCTGCCTCCGTCATTTTCATCCTCATCTTCATTAATCTCTTGTACAATGTGAAGAAGCACTGAAAGCTATCACTCTTATGCAAGAACGACCTTACCATCGACCTTGGGATGTCAAAGGTGATCTCTAGGATCTAGATGCCGTTGAATTCCATCTCTGGTAAGGTGAGAGAAGTAGAGATCTTCATAGTGCTTGGACGAATGACTTTAGCAAGTCCACCCTAATCAATGCCCTCGTGAACCACATCGTGTAGGAAAGCCTGTATGGTCCAATCACCTTAATAGTGAGAAGATTGAGGGTCGGCTCATTAAGGTGATCTTATTGGGAAATCACAAAGGGCATCACATGTGCAATGAAAAAATAAAAACAAAACAGGTTTCCCAAAAGAATCATATTGAATCGTTATGCGAAGATCGAGAGCATAAAACTTATGAAAAACCAAAAACTACGTAAGATATATGATATAACCTCACTTAGGGGAGATCATATATCCCATAAGAGTGTAGATCCTACTAGTTATAGGTGCCCTGCAAGCCAATCACGTGAGTGATGGCATGTGTGACATGCTACGTAATTTTTTTACTTATTATTAATATTTTCTCATTTTTTGTTGTATATTGTATATATTGTGATGTCTATGGATCTGTCCAATAGGAGTTGGATCATGATGAGATCACGATAATGAGATCGATTCGTCTTTAAACACAGACCTTAAATAATCCTAGTAATAAGTTACATGAGAGGGACATCGAGATAACCAGACAGACTGATATGCTAGATACTCATCCATATAATGGAGGTGGCTAGTCTCATGGCTGCTCATGTGAGGACACTATGAATATAGTGCAGGTGCTCATTGAAGAATAAGTTCACTGATTGATTTGCCCATAGAATGCTGGATGGTTGATGATACCTCATTGTCAAACATCAATTTCGTGGTCCTAGTTGTATGTATATTCTTTAGACTTGAAACACCAAAGACATCATGTATGAGTACTCTATTCTTTGATACTAGACTTATATGTATGGAAGTTCTAAATCTAGCACGACTGATTATTGAGAGTGGTAGTAAATCTTACGAGGGTAATTGAGTGTTGATAGAGGATCATTCACTCTTGGTATCATGAGAGAAATATTTTTTGTATTCTTGTTTAAGCAAATCCCTGGCTAGGGTCATTGTGATTGAGAGAGAGAGTTTTCTTGGAGACTCCGATTAGAGTGAGACCTGAGTAGATTCGGTGTGGGCCTGATAGTACCATACTCGATATATGGTATTTGAGGTATTAGATGGATAAAAGACTATAGATACATGATAATTAAGGACAGACAAGTCTAATAGATTTGATCCTCCTGTATTGTCTGGGGACTACGGCGTGGTGGTATAGTATGTCCATAGTCGATGAGTCGAGTGAATTATTATGAAGATAATAATTCATTGAGGCATAAGGAGTTCTAATAGGTACGACTCATGCCTAGCTTGATATTGGGTCTAGAGGGTCACATAAATATGGTAGGTGTTGTGACGAGTAAATGTTCAGATATGAGATATCCGTTGAAGCCCCTATCTTATTAGATATCATGTAAGCCCATAAATTATTGGATCTTATGGATAAGCTCCAATAAGAGCTAATGAGAGACTATTTGGTAGAGATCTACTAATCTAAAAGGCTTGGGTAACTAGATAGAGATCCAGTACCCAATAGGGCATGATCCAATAAGGTTAAGTGGTTAGAACGTCTATAAATAGGAGGGCCCAAAAGGTGGCATAGGCTAGTCACCTCTTGGCCGTACCTCTTATTCTCTTCCCTCTCATCTCCTCCTCTGCCGATAGCCCTAGTTGAGGGCGTATGGATAGTAGAAAGGGCTGACCCCTTCTTGATCACGTGGTGCGTGTGAAGAGAAAGATCGTGTAGTAATTTGAGGAGCATCTTCGCCACATCTACCATATGGATCACCGCTAAAGATGAGGACAATTGACCTCATTCATCCACTCCTATAGATCTAGGAACTTTCAGAGGTGTACGATCTCCTTAGGTAACAAATCTCACTTGATATACATGATTTTTGATTTTTGTGTTTTGCACACTAATCTTCATACGACGATGAGATCCTTTTTTTTTGAAATCTATGTTTTTGTTTTCTGTTCTTCCACTGCCATATGATACTCTGATTAAACTTCCCAATAGTGGTATCAAAGCTAGTTTGATTCGTGTGACGATTGGTTTTTAAATTACGTGCTTTGATGAAAAACGTAGAATTATTTTATATGCGATGTTGTGATTTTTGTCGTAGTTTCTTCAGATTTGGATCTTGCTATTGAGAGGCATTTTAGAAAAGGCTTTTGACATTAAAATTGTTGATGTATAAGAGAGAGAAAAGGATAGCAACTATTGTTGCCCTATGGATCGGCCAAAGGTTGCTTGCAACCTTAACAAATCGAGAGTAGCCATGCTTCTCTCGGCTAGGCATACCAGAGCCCCTATAGCCAGGGATTGCTGGTTGCATGGGAACCCCTGCAACTAGGGTTTCTTAGCCGCATAGGTGTCCATGCGGCTCCTACTTCATGGGCCAAGCTAGTGACTAGGATTTTCTAGCTACAAAGGGGTCCTTGGGAGCTAGGGATTCCTGGCCACCCAAAGCTGTCTTATGGCTAAGGATTCTTAGTCGCATGGGGCACCTTGGGATAGGGTACCCCAAAAATTCTATAAAGTAATTAATTAAATATTATTTATTTATTTATTATTATTATTCTTATTATTATCTAGTAGTCCTATATGATGATGTGTACATGTGATGTATGATGTGGACGGATGATCATGAATTGTGTAATGTGATGTATGTGTATATATTATGTGGTTATTATTATTATTGGGGCATGCGAGTCTCCATTTTTTCTTGTTTATCAGTAGGCCTATGTGCTTGTGATTATATTGTAATCGCACGAGGAGGCACAATAGGAGTGTTGAGGAAATAGCAGGACCCATGAGGCCGAGATGGATGATCGTGATGCATCGAGATGTGATGAAATGCTAGTGGAATTGATGAGGATGAGATAGACGATCACAAGGCATGGATATGTGTCGATGCACACATAGATTGTGATGTGAGTGATTAGGCCCACTAGCTCAAGCTTGATCATATTAGGCTATGGTCCATGATCATTTGGTGTGATTGCTCATGTGA